AGAGCATGAGACTGAAAAGTCCTTGATCAGGGTGAGCACTACTGAGCAACAGCTAAAACACTGGCATGTTACCAGCATTGCTCTCAGGCTAAAGCCAAAACACAGCACTGCACCAGCTACTAGGAAGAAAAATAACTCCATTCCAGGAGAAACCATGACACTTACCCAAAGTGTTTGTAAAGTAGTTAATTACTTCCTGAGATGGACTGCTAGTTCCATCAAAGAGAACTAAAGCACTTAACTTTTGTTCACTCCATGCATTCAGCAGAATTTTGAATATGATCTGCTTCCACTTACTTGCCCTTCTATCAATATTAATAATGGAAAGAAAAGATAGAATTTATTTTAGTAGACAAAAAAAACCCAAACAGGTAATATTAATATGTAGAGTCTGAAATTTCTTTTGAAGTATAGGCCAGGTCTTAGTCTGAATTTAATTGTGGTACTTTAGAATAAAAGAGCCCTATGCTTGTGCAAATTAAAGCAAATATATCTATTTGTCTTAAGTACTACTATAATTGATAACGACAACATTATTGCTTTCAGTTTTGCTGTTTATTTCAAATACAGTACACTGACTAAACAGCAGGCAGAATCAGGTAACAAGTGGGCATTCTACATCCTCATTGAAGACCTGTTTTTTCTAGCACACGCCCAAGCTTTTACCCAAAAGTGGGAAAAAAGAAAGTCTTAATCTAGTGTATCCAAAATAAACTATTAAAGGTCAGTAATAGGAGCTGTATGTCTCTTTAATCATAACTACTTCCCTTCCCAGCTCTCAGCATGGAAACCTGACTGCCAGTTGAACTGATTTTAGTGACAAATGATTGAAGGAGTTCACAAGACACATAAACATCAACACAAATTACCAACAGGGGATTAAGGATACACATTCTCTGTTAAATGGTGCCTGAGTTCTGCATTAAAACATAGGGTGAAATTGTTTAATACTCTTGACCTACTATGAAACTTAATTCACAGATCCAAACTTTGTGCAGAGTTCGTTTGCATTTCCTGCAAGACTCGAAAGCTTTTATTCTTGAGGCTCTGTATTAATAAAGAATACTGTAACCAATTTTAAATGCTGAAAGAAAAAAAAAAGTCACATTTAGATGTCTGCTACTATGTGCCTGAGACAAATTAATTTCTTCTAATATACCTGTAAACTTTGCAGCTATTCAAGTGTTACATATCTTTGGGCATCCTTTATCTGAATGCTGTCTAATCTTACTGTTTGACTTTAATCTTGCTGCTTACATGAACATATTTCTGCAAAAAATACTTTTCTAGTCTGAACAGACAGTCCTATAAGTTTCACAAATTCTTAATTTTGGCTGTGATATGAAATGCATTTAGTGAATATCACACTGGAGAGATCTCTTATTTTTTTTCTGTCAAGAAGACAAAACAATCATCCTGCCCTCAGACCAAAAATTACTGCTTCCTGAGAATACAGTGATTTAAGAAATCCCCAGTCTAGATATGACTTAAGTATTGCATGTTAGTTCTAGGCCAGCCAAATGTCTTTACTGTGGTTAGTGGTCTGCAAGACAGTGCTTAAGACTTCAATTTGATTCCCTGCTTTTGCATACTTGACCAAACAGGCACCTTCATGTCTAATATGGCATCATTCACCCAAGAATCTCTGAAGATGCTCAGCAAGAAAATTATGAACTGTTGTCATTCTTAAGGTGATTTTACAAAGAAGGACCCATGCATGAAATAAATTTTTTAAACTTAAGAATACATCATTACAGGAGAGCTAGTTTTTATTTATGTTAATTGTTTTTGCTACTGTTAAGCAAATGAACAACTCTATGTGAAGCCTAAGGGAGCTTAGCACTCTCAAAAATTGTTCTCCTGGAAAGGTCTGTGAAAATTTTCTTTTCTTAGAAGATAAAGAAGAAGGCACAAGTTTTTACTGTTTTGTTGATGTAACTTCAGTGTGCTATATTGGCAAGGCTATGTTTAAACCTGAATGGATAGGTTTTTTACACTACAAGCTAATTCTTCACAGACCTACCAGGCTATTGAAAATGGGTTTTGAGAGTGATGTAAAAGCATTTATTAGCCTGATTTCTGTGATGCTTCATAACATCTGTACTGCTTTCATAACTGAGATGGCAATCTTTGGATGAGCAGGGTCACTACCTGCTCAGCTGTGTCTTGAAACAGATGTCATGGCTTCTTGGAACAGAGGAATTTTGACAATTGTTAAGGTTGATCATAATTTTAGTTACAACTTTTATGACAGACTAAAGTGTATTTTAAATGGCCTTGATAAACCAACAGCAGATAAGAAGGGACTCTTTAAAAGTAACTGGTAAAGAATACCACAGAGTAAGATAAAAATAATAATAATAATAAAAGTTTATTGAATATTGTGGACCACAGTAACACAGATACATAAGTTAGAGTGGAACACAAACTGAGTAGATGAGTATGACATTAAAAAGCAAATGCCATTTTGAGCTGTATTACTAAGAACATTATATATAAAACACATGAGGTCATTACTCTATTGTATATGCATCATGTGAAGCTTCAGCTAAAGAACTATTTGCAAATGAGTCCAGTAAACTTGCTGACCTATATAGTAAGTTGAGTAGTACTTAGGGAAAAGCAGCAAGAGTGCTAATAGTTTTCAGAAATACAATCCATGAGGAATGCTGGTAAGAAAAGGCATCGTTTGATCTATGGGGGAGGTGGAAGTCTGAAAAGAACATGATAAAGGTTTTCCAGTGTTCAGAAGTCTGCTATGAAGTCTGTCTAAGATAAGGACAAAAAGGAACCAGTTTGTTTAGAAGTAATCAGTTTATTTACAGGGAAAAAAAAGTATTATGTTTAGCTATTAGGAGAACCGAAAGGTAGTGAAGTACTGGAGTAGGTCACTTATGGAGGGTATAATATGATTTAAAAAAAAAATATTCTGGACCACTATCTCTTAGAGATGTTCTACACATACTAATCTTGTCTCAAAACAAATTAGAAATCCTGAGATTTCATCCGAATCCAAAATTCTGCAATTCCGTTGATTCAAGGTGACATACAGCCTGCATGCATCCAGTTTAAAATGAACATATCTCTGTTTGCCATATACAGTGGTGATGCTGAATGGTTTGTCTCCTGCTCACCATCACAATACTTGCTTTTCACCTAAAAAGCACAATACCAGTAACCTACTGCTACATTATATTGACAGATTTATTTTCCTGGTATCAGTGATTAAATTTAGAATCTAAATTATTGACCTAAACTTTGTAACAATACCATAAAGAGTTTTAAGGGTTGGAGGTAAGTGAAATTGTTTCAAATAAGGCAAGTAATTGCTTTGAATAAGGCCAATGAGAAAATGAACACGAGCCGGCAGTGTGCGCTTGCAGCCTAGAAAGCCAACCATATCCTGGGCTGCATCAAAAGGAGCGTGACCAGCAGGTCGAAGGAGGTGATCCTGCCCCTCTACTCTGCTCTTGTGACACCTCACCTGGAGTATTGTGTGCAGTTCTGGTGTCCTCAACATAAAAAGGACATGGAACTGTTGGAACAAGTCCAGAGGAGGGCCATGAGGATGATCAGGGGACTGGAGCACCTCCTGTAAGAAGACAGGCTGAGGAAGTTGGGGCTGTTCAGCCTGGAGAAGAGAAGGCTGCGTGGAGACCTCATAGCAGCCTTCCAGTATCTGAAGGGGAGCTATAGGGATGCTGGGGAGGGACTCTTCAGTAGGCATTGTAATGATAGGACAAGGGGTAACGGGTTCAAACTTAAATAGGGGAAGTTTAGACTGGATATAGGGAAGAAATTCCAGGTGAGGCACTGGAATGGGTTGCCCAGGGAGGCTGTGAATGCTCCATCCCTGGCAGTGTTCAAGGCCAGGTTGGACGAAGCCTTGGGTGGAATGGTTTAGTGTGAGGTGTCCCTGCCCATAGCAGGCGGGTTGGACCTAGATGATCTTAAGGTCCTTTCCAACCCTAACTATTCTATGATTGAAATAGAGTGAAGTATTATAAGAGCTAGAAATAGCTCATTATGTTTTTGTTTGATGCCTTCTGTCATGAAATGAGGTATTGTGAGAGTTGAATTCTCAATGAATAGATTTTCCTCTGCAGTCTGGAAAATTGTGTCCATTGGTATGCTTCTGCAACAGGTCTTCTGAATAAATGCCTCCTAAAACTGTATGTGGAGGACCAGATGTCTGTCTTTCCTCTGCATAAATGTGGCGCTCCAGTCAAAGATCATCTTTTCTTTCATATACACGATTTATTTTAGCTCCTATTTTAAAGTAATGATTACAATTTCATCAACATCTCTTACAAAGTAGTAAGTAATGCCTCTGTGGGTGGGGGGTGTGTGTGAATTTGGTCTGTAAAGGAGTAACACAAAGAAGCTGAAGAAGTTACAAGGAAGTACTTGTCTTTTAAGAGAAATATGTGAAATGACTTACAAGAATGCAGACAGTAACTATCCAGCTTCCTTTTAAAAATGTGACTTGGACTGTATTTCAACCATTCCTTAAACTTTCAGAGGGAAAAGGAAAAAAAAAAAGAAAACACATTGAAACCCTAACCTATCCTGCATTATTAAAGGCTGAAACAGGAAATAGCAATAATGTTATGGGAGGCACTGACAATAAAGCTTGGATTCATGTACTTTCCAGGCCACCAAAACCAACAAGGCTGTTACTGCTAGGCATATAGATCTGAAGATCCAGCTTATTCTGTTATCATTCTGTTATACACTATGGAGTAGTAAAGCTGGTATTTTGAGTTCAAGTATTTGCTAGTCGTGTCACTGGACCAATGATGCTGAGTAACTGCGGCTGAGATTTTGATTTTGGAACAGTTGTCAGAGTTTTCATCTCACAGTTTGTGGCATATCTTCTTCAGTAGTAACACACTAAGTTTGCTACCACTGCAACACTCATTTATTGGCAGTAACAGGTCAGGCAGAAGAAACTTGACTTCAGTGGTCTGTGGAACAACATTGTCACCTTAGACTTTTTCAGAGAAAGAAGAAGGTGGGGAGATTGAGGAGGTTAGCTTCTTTTATGCCTTCTAGTTTTTTGCAGCAACTATTATAATTGTTTTGATTCTGAGTGTTAGAACATTTCAAATTATGGTGTCTAGATCACAAAGCCAATCAGAGTATTACCAACTTTTTTTTACTTACATGTACCAAACACAAATAAGTCTTTTGCTTGTATACAGTGTGTTTGCAGAAGACATAGGGCAGAGGATACAAGCACATGGAACTCAGAAATCAGAAATAGAGGGTCAAATTAAAATGTTCACCATATACAGTATAGTTTTACAAAGAGAATCTCAGTTGCTACTGATGCCATGTTCTGAGAATAGCCAGCCTTTCAGGGTAAGTATTTCATGAATAATTGTTTCTAGCAGTTCTTCAAATGGTAGCTTCCTTTGACTCTTCTTTAGAGCCATTGGTCAGTCCTCTTCATATTTAGCTCTGCTTTGAGATACTCACTGACAGTACTGTTACATTGGATTACAGAAAGTCTGTATGAGTATATTTGTAAATTAACTTTCATAGCAGAAAATAACATTTTTCTCTCCTTGAAATAAAATACGACTGTCCTGCCCTGCATAATCAATACTAAAAGATCCACATTTGAATTCTGAATTGACTTCACATTTTGAAATTTTAAAAAGAACCACCTAGCCAACAGTTCTGTATTTCCTTTATTCTCCTTGTACATCCATTCACACATAGCATATATTTTTTATTAATTTCACATGCACATATATATATATGTATGTATACATACATACAGATGAAGTCAATTTCGTATTTTTGATTCAGAAAATTCAACTACAGCATACACAGATTTGGAGAGATTGCTCCAAGATCCAAGACCAACCCTTTGGATGTGAAATCAAACTAACTGGAAGTGGGGCAGCCAAAGGACAGAAAGGAAATTCAGAGCTCTATCTGGATAGCACTGTCAATTCCAAACAGTATTTGGCTGATGATCCTATGATCCAGTGGTAGAAGTGCATGGATAAAAAAGTACTATAAAAAGGAAAGTAGTTTTTTGGATAGAACTATTTTCATTTCCTACTTTCTCTCTACATTCCTCATATTTTAAACAATGCCTATAGCAAAGTCTACACCTTCGTTTTCCTACTGCACCTGGCCACAATGTGAGAAAGAAAAGAAGTCCAGTAGATGTTGTCAACAACGTATTTTTATGCTAAAGAGCAGAAAGAGAACTTGACATTTTAACTACTTCTTTTGATGTGAGGCTTAGAACCAAGCTCAAGTTCAAACAAGAACTATTATATCTGCTGTTAAGAGTAGCTGAATCCTCTTCTAGGAGAGCTTGAAATCTAGAAGTTGGTCTCTTTTTTTTGTATTTTTGGATTTTGTCAACTCTTTTGTCTTCTTTCTGTTGACATGAAGATCAAATTATATTTTAATATTTGAAGCAATTATAAACAAAATAGAAAAGGAATAAAGAAGTTATGATGCATCAGGAATCATTATGCCATGTTATTTAAAGCCTCCTTTAATGTTCTGTACTGTATTCAGCTTAGGTCGTAGCATCCATTTAAGCAAGGTGAAATAGCAGAAAAATTATTCTGCCAAAAGTAGGGAAATCTTAGCAGTAATCTTTCAAGACTGGACATGACAGATTTTGTGACTTGCCATGCAATATTACATTTGATATTTTTGTTGCTTTTAAGATGCTGAGTTACCAGTCATTGTTAGCTGTGACTGGGGCATTTTATTTGTTAAAACTCATTTAGGAAAGCAAACTAAGTGCAGAAATGCTCATTGTAAGATACTATGATAAAAGAAGTAAAATCCCATCAAAAATTAAAGTTCAACACTAAAGCAGTTAAACTGCATGAGAAAAAAGAAAGATTTTCCCATCATGCTTACAGCTAACTCTCCAAGGCAATCACTTTTGAATGGAGTAATATAAGGAAAACAAATGGTAAAACACTAAGAGAACTGAAAAACATTGAGACTCACTTGGGAAAAATACCCTCAAGTGTTATATGAGATAAGCTGAGACATATTCCAGAATGCATATAGAACACTACGTGTGGTCTCTGACTAGCAATTACTGAGCTATATAAAACAATTTTGATGGACAGAGATTGGAAGTGGCAACATAGAAAGAAGAAACTTCAATCTAGAGAGCTTTTAAATGTAAATGTGTATATTCTCATTGGAGAAACTATGACCATAGAACTAACAAACAGATCCAAACCATGTATTTTTGCTTTACTACTTTAAGCAAGTTGCTGAAACATATTGCACTTTACAGTGGGTTGAACAGTTTTCTTTGCTCATGTTTAAAACCTTCTAGTGTCCCTTACAAAAGCTGTTGTAGTACTACAAAGTAGCATCTGTATCTATTGCTTTTAATATATATTCTTTCAACTGAGCTCATAAAGTACTGGAAGTACGTTTGTCTTTAAGAACATCTGCTAATGCATTTGGGAAAGTTCAAGATAAATCAAACTGTACGGTAGCAACCTCTAGAAGACAGAAAAGACTGGGTACAGAGGATATGGTACAAAAAGAAAAAAGATGGATATGCTGCAGATAACCTTTTTTTATCTCAAACACCATTATGACTGAGAGGATCTAGAAATACTTAAGTGCTGGAAAGACTTCAAATCACCTTCGTATTTTAGTGCAAGGGGCAAGGGGATTAGCTGATCTTAAATTCTCTGAGTGACAAAAATGGTTTTTGACTCAGAAAACTAAAGTATCTGCTATTATTTGACACACTTCCATGAACTTTGTACTACATTTTTTCACTTGGTTAACAGGGGTTAGAAAGTTCTAAATGTAAATGAAATCAACAGTAATACTGAGCACAGGAATTTAATATAAATGTTCAATATGCATATAGATGTTACATCCATAAATATTAATAAAATTAATAAAAATATTAAGACTTCATAATGGTATTGGTCTAAAATGTTGATGGTTGTTTTTATGCTGGATTTTTTGCTTTACTAGTTGTGGATTAGAGAACATAAATTTTCTATCAAGACGACGCAATTTCTCATCTGGAGATTCTTTCTACTGGCAAACTGTAGATTTCATTTACATTTGAATTATAGTGTAATAACTATAGAAGTGCTCATTCTCACTTTGTCAGACATCAAAATATGGAGGATTTCAGTTTGTTATGTTACTGTAGCCTCTTGTATGCTACTAGTGCCTTAAGTCTCACTTCTGCTATGTTGGTTGGGCACATCCTCTGGACAGAACCTCCAGGTCTGCAAAATGGGCAGAAGATTCAAGTGAACCACAAATTCCTTATGTGAGTAGGAAGATCAAGACAGCAAGAAATACCACAATGTGGAGACATCACAGTTTGGATGACTTATATTTCCATTCCTCTCAAGCTGCAATTCCTACTCAGACTCTATCTCAAACTTGCAATTTCTCAGTGCTCCAATCTGGAAAATCAAAATGAAAGTGAAGAAAATTACTTTTCCAACTAACTTTGTTCATGCTAATTAATCCCAGACCAATGAGTACTATTAATTCTTTATAGTGGGTATAACTGGTTTTGAAGAACAACTACGGTGATAAAGTACTTGTAATATTCCCGTTGATGAGGCTGGAACTAAGAGGCACTGCTTTCTTCACTAACAAATACTGTTAGTCTAAAAGGCAAGGCAAAGTTTAGGCTTTGATCCTATTCCCTGCAACCCTTATGCAAAATTTAAGATAATTATACACTTTGAGATGTCATAAGGCAGTCCTGATAATACGGTTTGAATCCAAACACTGTTTTCTGAGGTGTGTTCATTGAGCTACAAGGAGAGATATGTTCTCATTTTCTGCAATATCTATGACATGTGCTGATGTCACAGTCACCACAGCAATATAAATAAAAATCACTGTGCAGGTGAATGGTACAGTATTTTAACAAGGGCCCCATCTTGTTAGGTTTACCTCAGAATGTCTCACATAGTAGGGAAATTTGAAAGCAAAGACATTGCAAATTTAAAACACTACTATGTATGTGACTAAAAATGCAACTACAAAGATGCAAAATTTTGCAAAAGCATGGAGCTTGTTTAGTCTACTAATAGTGTATATCCTAATGTCACCAGTTAGCTGTTTTGCTGCTGATTCTTTGAGCAGAAATGTCTTATTCCACAATGTTTATCCCGTAATCCCATACTGTCAACCCAAGAATCAGAACTCCCAACAGCCAACTTGCCTCCAGCTATTTTACCTCCTCAACAGCTTTCAAGAGGCTGTAATGCACTGTCAATACAAAAGCTACTGGCTTATTGACAGATGGAAGGGAAAAAAAAAAAAAAGAAAGAAAGAAAAAAAAAGGGAGGTTTAAAAAAACTGAATTAAGTATCAAGGAAGATAACAAAGGAATGACCCCATGAGGCTTTATTAGTTTTTTCCTACAAAATGACTTAAAATGTTTGACAATAAAGTAACAGGAAGCTATTAATAACTGTGGTACACTTAACAGGTTCTTTGAAGAAACAGATTCAGATTTTAGGTAATTTTTTTTAGTGTGCGATATAGATTATTATCACTGTAAGCTACTGGGTTTAGTGCATATAGGAATATGTCCTTCAAATGCCTAGCCCCGGTTAAAAGAAAACCTGCTTTTCCAAATTTCTTCCACAAAGTATGTTTACAGCCTTTGAATCACTCCTGTGAAACTGTATGAGCACAGACTCGCCTTATAATGGGCATGGCATAGCTTTACTTCACCGTGTGACCATGCCTTCTGTGAGCCAAGGTTGCAGCACTTCCTTTTTCATCTGCATCAAGCTAGCTTGGACCCTCCCTTCCTCATGAGAAGACACGGATGTGAACTTGATAGGGCTTTAACCACTAGAGGGCTGTGTGGACACAATCTTTTGGCAACTTTTGGCCCTTCACTGGTTCAAAAGGGCAAACGCGTTTTTCTGTGCGATAAAATGCAACTCCGAAATAATTAACTAGCTTTTTCTTATCTCTCGCTTTTGACAGAAAACACAGCAAATCATGGCTTAATTAGTCCTGTGAAATTTTAAATGACCACAAGTTACTCAAGTTGGTCATGGAACTTGTATAAAAAAAACCCAAACAACTAAATCCCAAAAAATGCAAAATCCTTTTGAATGGCTGTCTAGGGCCTGAAACATGCTCGTTGAGCTCAAGATTCGAAATTAATCCTGATCAAGTGTGGACACTGAAAAAATCCTCTCCATAAGCTGATAATATTATGTCTAATGAAGGTACCTGACACATACCCAGAAAACAACTAAGTTTCCACAGAAACACACACAACGTTGACATATAGCCAGCCAGTTTTTGTGAAAAGCTGGTTTTGATATTGATACAGATAATGTACCCTTCCCTCTTCCAACATACACTGGAAATGCACAAAGATGGCAAAATATGGTGAAAAGCATAGAAACTTGGTGATTCACAGGGACATGCTGCTCATTACATTAAAGAGTCCAATGTAGTTTTAGTCCTCAGAAGATTAGATAAAATCAGAAGGGCTAAGTAGCTACCTATTTCGCACACTTGACTCATCTGTCGATTCTCCTATGTGCCAGTGCGGTCATTAAAATGTCCATCCACACCAAACGGGAGATTACAATATATCCTGGTATTTGTATTTCATGTTACCTGAAAAGTTCTCCTAATGCTCACTTTCTAAACAGTCATTCCTACTCTCGTGTTTATACAGAGGCTGCGGAAGGGAGCCGATCTGGGTTGAACTAGCGCATCCCAGTGCATTTTTTCACAGGCAGGACACGAGGGGTGGCCTAACAGGCTCGGCTGCCGGTATCTATAGCACGTCTAAAGCATGACAGCCTCCCGCCACCTTCCCTTTGCCCAGCAACCCAGGCGGCGTATTAGGTGTCTCCCAACCCCTCGACGCCGTGAGAGCGGGGGACAGGCAGGAGAATGCTTTAAAGCGGCCACAAGCGGGGATAAGGGAAGGTTTCGCAGGGGAAGAAAGGGCGCCAAGCCGGGGACGAGCGGCCCGCAGCCCTTTTCCGGCCGAGCCGCGGACCAGGCAGGGAGGCGGCCGCCGCGACCAGCAGCTAACGTCAACACCTACCTTCTGCGCCGGGTCAAGCCCAGCGCCCGGTGGTACGTGTGCGGCCGCGGGAGGGCGCGGAACGGCGCTCACTCCCCACTGCCCCCGCCACCTTCCCAGCGCGCGCGCTCCCTCAGGGGTGGCGCGCGCGGTGGCCGTTGTGTGGCTGCGCGCGGAGGGCCGCAGCGCCTACGTTTCGGCGGCGTCGCTGGGGCAGGGTTTCGCTCGGTTTGGCTGCGTGTCACACACAGATGTGACTCTTGTCTGTTCCCTGCAAACGTACAACCGTGACCGCTCACCTCCTCCCGCCTCCCTTCCCCCCCCCCCCCCCCCCAGCCGAAAAAAAACCCACCCTTTGACAAAAAAATTCTTCAGATCCCACACCGAGCAGCAGCCGCCGCCGCAGCAGAGCCCCGGGAGCTGATGGAGCAATGGGTGGGAAGCGGGAAACCGGCACCACAAGCGAAAACTTTCCATCTGTTTAACTTTTCGCTTCCCTTCTAACGCTCTCCCCTCTCCCCCTCGGTTCCTTACTCCCTCCTCTGGGCTACGCTTTATTTTCCGTCGTGTCTTTTCCCCTGTCTCAGCCCTCCCTCCACCTTTCTCCTAGCTACTTTCTCTCCCGCTCGCTCCAGCAGCGCCTGGAGCTCGTAAGTGAGAAGCAGCGGGAGAGACTGCAGCCGCTGCGGGAAGGAACCGGGCGGAGGAGCGGGAAGGAGAAAGGGGGAAGAGGGAAGCGGGAGGCAGTAGGGCGGCTATCCCCGCGCGGCACCGCCGGTCGCCCTTACCGCAAAGTTGGCGGCAGCCGCGGGGCGTTTTTGACAGCTGTGGGCGCGGGCGGCCGCTGCCGCAGCCCCTGCCTGGGACAGAAAGTTTGGGCGGGAGGGACGAGGCAGAAGGGGTAATTTTTTCGCACCCCCACACTCTCCCCCCCGCCCCCCTCCCCCCAGTACTCCTTCCCTCAGGCTCTCTGCCTGCCTCCCTTGCTCGAGAGCGTGGGGTTCGGAGGAGCAACGCTGCCCTCGCAGACCTACTCGCAGCGTCACCCCGCCGCCTCCCCTTCCCTAGCCAAACAACCCAACAACTAACCAACCTGTGGAGGCTCTGACCCGAACCTGGGTCCCTCCTTCCATCACTTCCAGCTCTCTGCCCAAAGCTCTTTTTTCTTTCTTTCTTTCGTCCTTCGTCTTTCCTGCTCGGACTGAACTTTGGGGGTTGAAGTTTTGGAAGAGAGAAAAAGGGCGGAGAGAGAGATTCTCGCTCCTGCTTTTTTTTTTTTTTTTGGGGGGGGGAGGGGGGAGGGAGGGGTGGTGGAGGAGGGGGGAATATTTTTACTTTTAAAATCTATTTTTTTAGCTCAAATCACCTGAAAGGGAGGGGGGTTGCGGGGGGTGGTAGTAGAGAAGGAGAGAGGGGGAAAGAGAGCGAGAGGCGCTGAGAGCCCAGAGGCAGAAGGAAGGGTGCAGGCACTGCCGCTGAGAGGAGATCGAGAGACAGGGGGTGCACTTGACAACCAGCATGCAGAGATGGTAAGAAGTTTCCAGCAGCCTTTCGTTTTCATTCTAGCTTTTACTTTGGTTTGATTTGATTAATAAATTGTGCAGTAACACAAGCAGCCCAGCTCGCTATCCGGTGTGCTTCAGCCTTCAAATAAACAAGGAGCCGGGGAAAGAGAAGAAGTAGGATGATAAATAAATAAACCAGTCCTGTGCTGCGTGGATTGGGGGAAAAAAAGACTAAGAGGCTGTGCTAAAGTTTTAAGTGAGTTTGGGGGGTTGAAATAGGATGGCCACATGCTTTTTACCGCCTCCTTACCTCCATTAGAGATGAGGGGCTAAGTTAAAAAAAATGTGCGTACGTAGGGATGGAGAGTGAAGGTGGAGTGGGGTTGAATAGGACATACGGTGATCTGGTCTCTTTTGGACACCACGTTCTGCTCGGAAATGACTAAGGTTTGCACACAATGTAAGGTAACCTTTGAGAGCGGAGCAAGGAGCTGTGTGCATGTGAAGCAACGCCTGCGGCAGGGAGGCAGAAGTGTAAATCCACCTTACCTCTGTAACTATATTTGTTGTGCATGCGCTTGCAGTTTGCACCTCTCCAATCAGTGGCTGTTAGCAGAACTTGCAGAGTTAGGCTGATGCGCTGTGAGGGAGGAAGCCCCCAAAAGCAACTTCGAGCGAGTTTTTTCCTGCGTATTTCATGCGCTGTGCAAATGTACGTCTCCTTTACAGCAGGGGGTTTGCAAAGCAGGGTTGGGGCTTTCAAGATCTCTTAATTTAAAAATAAAAAAATTACAATGACCGAGGACCTAGTTTGACTGTTTGCCTGGGTTGTGATGTGAAGATAGGTTAAACAGCTGCGAAGAACAGGCACGTTTACAGCCATGCCTAAACGTGTAATTATAACTGTTCCTATTAACAAGTGGATTGACCTCAGTGCTGAGCAGTGATCAGCCCTTATTCAGTGAAGTAGTGTATTTTCAATTTCTGACTACTGCATTGCTTTTAGTCAGCTTTTTCACCTCGCTCCAGGGATGCTACGTATCTGTCGTGTGCGCTTTGAATATGCATACATGCACATGCACACGCACGTGTATGTATACATGTGTATACATACGTGTATGTGTATGTATGTATACACAGCACTCAAACTATAGATACAGTGTATGTCTGTGTGAATGGAGAGCTTGAGATGGATTATTTGTATTTTCTTCTCTTCCTAACATGACATGGCTTGTTTCAGTGATCAAATCCACAATTGGAGTGTAGGAGATGCAACTGTCAAATGTAGGCAACACACACACACAAAAAAAAAAAATTGGGGGGGGGGGAAGCAGCATGTGCCCAGGACTGTGGTTACAGTAACGCTGACAGAAATGAAAGTGGTTTTGAAAGCAGCATGCAATTTATGACGATTCCCATTTACCTTAGAGTTAAGCTGTTGTAAAATTGATGCACAAAAGATATCATGTAATAATCTGGTGTACCCAGGATTAAAGTGGCAAAGAGTGTCTTTTTGTGTGTATGTCTGGCCGACAGTTAAAATGGTTTGAAGCTATTTTTAAGTAAGAAATCAAAGCAGGATACTACATACTTTTTTTTCTTAACTGGTATGTTAGCTGTGCATTGGAGTTAATGAAATATTTTTCAGTGGACGTGGGCTTTTATTTTTCATTATCTTACATTTCCCTTCTGTGTCATAACCCATCTCCATAGATGAATTTTAACATGGGGTAGCATTTTTTGTCAATGTTAACAGTTTACTGAGTTCATTTCAAACAGTAATATTTAATAAGCCTGATCAGCAGGTCTGCACAAGAGTACCAAGTTCCTGTAAAAGCATGTGGAACTTTCCTTGCCCTCAAAAATTGCAGGAATTTTTAATCTGAAATTTAATGGGCTATATGAGCTGTGTGATACACTGCAGTTTCATTTTAAGCTGGCTGGTATTAATGAACCATATATGTCTATATATGTTCTGCTTTAAATTTTTAAAGCACATGAATTTTAAAATTTATTCACTAAATATTTCCAATTATCCATCTTTACCTGATCCAGATGCAAAAGAAAATCTAAATGTAATTTATAAACTAATTTGTTATGGGCAAATTTTGAAACTCTGTTAAGACCTGAGATTGTGAAAGTGTTCCTTAAGCACACATCTTACACATATAACAGAAAAACGCTGCCTTGGTGTTATTTTGTAAGAATACAACACTATGGTATTTTAGGGGGGAAAATGAGCAGATCTATACCTTTAACCAAAATGAATTTTTGTTACTGAGGTATTTGTGAAGGGTGTGTGTGTGATTATATTAAAGAAAGTAAAGGAACAGACAAAAGCAAAGATGACTGTATATTAAAATGTAAGTGTTACAGTTTGAATTTTCTGGTGCGTTTTTGAGTTCAGTGCTTTACATAACATTTTGTCCTAATCTTGCTTGCTGTCAGAGATGTTTCATGGTTGTGCAATTGCTGCAGTCAAGAATGCCAATTTGCATTCCAGGAGTGTCATTTGATTACTTTTATCTGCACAGCTCGAAGACCAGCCCAGACCTCTCATTTCATCTTGCCATGTCACAAGTCAGTGCTGTGTCGTCTTTTCAAAAATCTGCCTGATTTAGACAAGAAAGAAAAGTACTTTCATGTTGCAGCCGCAGTCCCCTGCTAACTTGTCAGCAGCAGGATATGATTCACTTGGGCCCAGAAGAATGGTACAGAGATGAGGGTTAGGCGGTTCAATAAGCCCATGGACAGGTAGTGTGTGACCTCCCAAGAGAGCTTAAGTTAATGAAGAACAGGTCTGCTTAGTTCTTCACACTCTGACCTGGTGCTGTCCCCACAGTTTTCTTATTTGATCTTTCCCAGCAAATTGATCTTTTCTAGTACTTTTTTGCCTTCCAAGTTAGTCCTTATGGGACTGAAATTAGCAGAGCAACTTAAGTTGGATAATACAGCTGTTCAGAAAAGAAGAAATTGGACACTAGCTCATAAGAGGGGGAGGGGAACGTGAGCTATTCTTTCTGTGGTTATTCAGAATTCTTTTTTTTTTAAGTTTTATTTTAGAAAACAGCTGTATTACTTTGGAAGTTTGCTTTCTTATTTATAGTCTTATTTATAGTCATCCATATATGGATGGTCCGTTGCACACCACATTAAATGTGTATCGTTTAAATAAAACAAACATGCTTGCAGCATAGACTGCAGGTTTGCTTTGGTATTTGTCAGTTGAACTTGCTTATTAGAACTGATTTGCTAGTCTGTAATGAGGCTTTTACAGTTGTCGTAAGACATTTTAAATATCAATTGCACATGCCAAATATGTTATTTATAGCCTTCTAAATAACTGTAATACCATAGTATCCAATGCTGAAATGCAGTGGAGATTAAACAATAAAAGCCATTACAAATGGTATGTGTAAATATTATGGTAGGTGAAAATATAGTCAGCAAATTACTACTGGCATTACTGGTTCTCTGGAAAAAACAGTGTATACCAACATTGATTTTGAACTAGAACACTCTGTACTTAAAAAACCTGGGTTCTGAAATGGGGCTATGGTATTATCTATCATTCTTTTTTATATTCTTCTGCTCTTAGTAATTGGAAAATGGAATGGAGTGTGCGTGTGTGTGTTCAAGTACATACATGGCTAGGCTGCCAAACAATGTAAGATTTCTAACTAGAATTTAGTAAATGTGAGTTGGAAATTAAGAGGGTCTTTAGTATGCTGCACAATAATAAGTAGTATTTAATGTTCTGTATTTCATCGCAGATGTTGTCACATATTATCCACATACTTTCAAGTTACAGAATTGAAAACATTGCTGAATGAAAACAAGTACACTTATTATGTAAGGGAAATACTGCTCTATCTCTCTCTCAGTATTGCTTTTAAAAATGGGAAGGAACTGTAAAGGATCATTGATCAGTTAAGCTTTTCTGAAGAGCTAGACAGAGCTTCTTTATTTTATTAGATATGCAATAGGTAAGACAAAGGGGAAAAGTGTTCTGAATAAGGGAAGGCTGATTGCTAACTTTTTTCTGAGCTAAAGGTTTACAACTTACTTAGGCTTTGAAGAGGCTTTGTTCTACCTTACATATATATACATGGATGTCAGTGGGATTTGGGCTGACTGCAGATCCTGTCAATTTCAGGCAAAAAGAAATGACCAACAGCAAAGTAATTACATTAAAACAACTCCAAGTGAAACACTGGATTTTATGCAAAACCAAAATTTATATTTTTTTTTCCCCCAAAAGGTGGGAGTTTCTGACAGTGGCCCTTTTCCTTTTGCACATTGAACACTGTCACAAGAATCTGAAGTCTTTTGTTAACTGAATATTGTTTAATGAAAGAGTCCTGATTTCCAGTCTACAGGTTTGCACAGGGCTTTTGATGTGATTTGATATCCACTATTAGTATGTGTTAGGAAAACACAAAACAACTAGGTTGTATCTGTCATTTTAGAAATGTGTATCACTTCCTAATCTAGCCAGGAACTTGTATTTAATTTGGAGGAGTAGCATTTTACATAGCTTAATAAAAAGCATCTGTTTAAACCTTGTGTTCTGTGTCAGTTTCATCTCACCTAAATTCTGACATACGTGTTCTGAAAAGGCATTGATCATAATTGCTGCTTAATATTCATATGGCAGCTTTTGCAAGCATTACATTGGACAAACTTATTTACCATTTAAGTAAATTGTATGATCCAGTGAGATAAACTACCAGATTTGTCTCCTTTATCTCTTGCACAGTAGCTCTAATTATGTGCCTTGCTAGTAAAAGCCTTTATTTGTTGATTATTACAATCTTAGTACACTCAGGAGTTCTTCTGTAATTTAATGTGGTTGTTCAAAGAGCTTCTCTCATTTTAGAATCTTTCCATAGTACTCTCACCACGTTATAAATATGTATATTTCATACTCCATATACATAGGCAAATACTCTTATTCCAGGTAAATCAAGGGGTTTGAGAGAATTCTTTTCATCTGCAGCATCTATTTCAGCACTTCTGTGTTT